GACCAGAAACAAGATTTAATATAATTTGGTGGCCCATGGTCACACGTCTTCGTGTTTCACTTTCACCTTCACGTGAAATGAGAATTCGTTCTAGAAGGAAATGAGATCTTTGATCATACAATTATTTGTTTTTTCAAAAAATAATTGTTCGCAATTTTATTTTATTTTATATGTAGCGATACATTTTTTATAAATTTAAAAAAGACCTAATAAAATTGATTATTTTAAATTAAAATGTAAATTATAATAATAATCGAATAACTTCTTTGACGCTATCATAAAATTAAATCTTCAACTAAACTGACGCTTTGAATTCTTAGCTTAAAGAAATGAGAATTATCCGAGCTAGAACTGCAAGAGGTAAATCGTTTTATTGAACACTAGAAAAAAACAATACAAGAAACTCAAACAAAAGCGAGTGTTTCAACATGTTTATAGGCATCAAAACAATCATACCGAGCACCACCAATGAAATTTCTGAAAGAATGAGGCTGTATATCAGCTAACTCTTTCACCGTCCCGTTATGTATATCAAACACAACAATCGTCCCCGGAAGTGATATCAATACCCTTGCTCTGTCTTCTTCATCTGTTAGAAAACAGAGGGTACTGAACGCATATGGAAAGTTGTAATCTTCAGGAGGATACACTTCTTGATTCACCATAATCGGATACAAATTGGTCAAAAATTCAAGATTCACTCGATACTTTACAAACCAACAAGAATAGTCACTCTTCAATTCCAAAACATCAAACTGTATATCTTGTGGCTTATGAATCTCAATGAGATGTAAACAACCACATGATTCTCCGAAATACTCTATATTTCTGTACCACTGTCCTTGAGGAATATCGGTGCTAGGCATTGATTTAAACACGCAATTATCAACTTGCAAGCACAAAAAGGGGCTTGTTTGGCTAAACCAATGAACAGCCCCTTTCCAGAAAACCCCACCATAGCTGCATAAATCCACTTTATTACAGTGCTCATTCGAGTGTCTCCAAATCCCAGATCCAGATGAATACACAGAGAACTGGAGTCGGTTTTCAGAAACAGAGAGCCAAACGCAAACAACATAGTAATCGTCGGAGATCTTGGGATCGAATGCTAAGTTCATACTTTTCACTAACATAGTCTCCGGCACCGGAATGTACCTCTGATGACCGGTAGTAAGATTACAAATATAAAAATCCGTCTTAGCATCATCCGATTTAAAACCAACGCATAGAAGCCCATTACAAGAATTGATGCTACACACAACTCTGCTACCACGCGAATCGGATAAACGGTCGTAAATCCGAACCATTTCAGATATCCGTTCATCATTAAGAGCAAGAAAATCATAATTTGGGTGTCGGCACAAGAAAACGCCGACGGTGGAAGCAGAGGAGGTAGCATTCCGACGAGTATGGAGTCGACGGAAATGGGCACTAGAGATAAGAGAAAGCCAGTGTTTAGATACGCACTGGAAACGAAGTAGAGATTTTGGGGGTAATCGGAGGAATATTTCAGTTAAAAGATCTTCACTGCCGGCGATTTGCTCCGATGAAGAGGAGATTTCCGAGGAAACCGGTAAGTGATGGTTCAGCTGTTTGATGTAACTCCGGGAGTGGGTAACGGTCAATCTGATAGGAGCAATAGCACCGCCGAACGAAGTACAGTCGCCGGAAACCATGGTGTTTGATTTGGAAATTGAAATCAATTTTAATGAAGTGAACTTGGACACTCTATATATTAAGAGCAGCCAGTTGTAAGTCTCTGTCCCTACAAATTGATAGAGTTAGTAATATTTAATTAATGCAATTGCCCTACTTTATTTGTAACCCATAAAAAAATATAACTATGAGAAGTTTATAAACTTTATCTAATGGTATCCAAAATATCACACGTTTTTTTTCTGTTTTTAGTCTATTTTTATAAAGAGCCTTTTAAATAACTCTGAGTAAAAGGTGTGTTGGTCACTATTAAATAAATAATTTTAAGTAAAAATCATGTTGATCATTGTTTTAAAATAAATAACTTTGAGTAAAAATCGCGCTAATCACTGTTCTAAGACGAATTACTCTGAGTAAAAGTCGTGTTAGCCATTATTCTGAAACGAAATTAAAGCAAAGGCTAATTGAAAAATGTATAAAAAGAGAGAGAATTATGTAAAAGAAAGAAAATAAAATATTTTTTGGTGCATTCTCATGAAACGAAATGCCTATTTATAGGTGTTATGAAGCGAGTTCAAATAATGACAAGTGGTTTGTTTTTGTGAAATATTTGTCATGCATATTGCCAGCCACTCCTTTCAATTGTCATTATTCTAAAAATTATAATGTCATTTGTCTGCCAAAATGTTGAAATTCTGCTTACAAGAGCTAAGCGTCGAACTGTTTGAATAACCAGTCCAAATATATAATTAATTTGAGCATTCCAAAGTCTTTAGCATGACGATATCTTTGAATTAGATCTAAGATTAGGGTCAAATATAAATTATGTATGACTGATCAATATGGTCAACATTATAGTAATCTAGAATCGCATTTGAAAAAGTATTTAAATTGTTTAGGTTTTTATTCGCTTTAAAAAATTTCATATTGAAAATTAAAAAAGTAATTTTATTTTAAAATGCTTTGAACACAAAATTTCTGATTACTATCATAATATGTTGGTTTGGTGGATATATGTAGGTTTAAATAATATATTCTATAATTATCCTAATAAAAAAAATCTAAGTAGAAGAATGCTAGTTTATATGGTGATAAATCTAAAAGATGGGGAAAAAGTAGTTTAATATTAATTGATCCCTAGTCAATTTTCAAATCTAAAAGATGGGGAAAAGTAGTTTAGTAGAATTAATCGCTGGTCAGTCTTCAATCAAGGGGATTACATAAATGTTAAATAACTAATTATATCTAGAAGAATATATATACATAAAATATGTAATAAAGATATGATAAATTTTTGTCTCCTAATTTTCACTTATAAATTCGCCACCGAGGATATATTATAGAAAATAATTTAATTTATTATTAGTATCTATATTATTAGTACGAAGGATTAAATATATAATATAAGTATTTTATTAGAAATTTTACACATTAATAGAGGAGTATAATTTCTAATTTCTATTAGAATGATTCATATATAATTTGTAACGACAAGAATAATTTAAATCAGATTTTCAAATCATACGTATTTTCAATTATTCATAATGGAAAGCCCTAATATTTAATTTTCTGGTTCCTATTGTATCATGTTTAGTTAGAATCCAAAAAGTTTCTAGAAGAAAATGAAAGAAACTTGTTTCTATCTAAGGTTTAAGCAAGAACATGAAAAATGTGTATATATAGTACTAACACTTTTTCTAACGTAGAAGTATAACGATATTTTTGAAGATACTTATTTACTCAAAGATCGAAGGAGTTTGTTGATTCATTTGGAATTATCGTAAAATTGGATTTGCTGAAGATATTTATTTTATGTTTTGAAATATTTTTTAAATTAAATTTTAACACATTTAATATATTTATTATTCATGTGCACCGTATATATTTATCAATATAGACTTTTTAACAATCCGTAGAAAAGCTACACTACCATCTAAATAAATAAATTATAGGTAATATATAGCAAAATGAAAAGGCTTGTTGAATATTTTTCTTTCTGCCGCCACAATCGAAGACAAATAAATTGTCATAAAACTTCAAACTATATATTTTCTAATTTAATGACTAGTTCGAAATTGTTAAAAGACTGGTCTCTGAAGTTTTTAGTAATTGTGACGTTTACATTGGAAGGATAACGTAAGATGTTGTGTTATTTGGGTTCAAAATTTGACCAAAAATAATAATAATAATTAATTTAATAAATAAAATATTCTAATGTGATCTATTTATTTGGATAATTTAAAGGTATGTGACGTATCACATGGTGTATCATGTATTTAAAATTTTGTCTACGAAAAGGAGATTATCCTTAGATGCTCGTAATATATAATTAATTTATGGAAAAGGATACATTTTTTTCAGAAAGGAAATAATGAAATTATTTGATTTCTATAGTGTATTATTTTCTATTTATTTTTATTTTCATATTTTTAATATAAAATCTTTAAGAAATAATTTAGAACATAAATAATTTATGCTAAAATAAAATATGACAAAAATAATTATTTTTATCTTTTAAAATTAAAATTTATTTTGAAATAATGAACTTTGTGGAAAATGAACCCTGAGTTAGTAGTTGAGAGGACAATTAGTTGTGAAGTTCATATGAGACTTATTAATGCAGAGGACCAACTCTATTTGCGACCAAAATAATATATTATCATTTACCACTATTAATTTTGCTACTACGATTTAAAAAGTTCTAATAACACCCATTTATTTTATTTTATTACTGAGAGTTCAATTTTTTGATCATAAAATATTAAAAGACATTATGATATGATAAATATCACATGTTTTATCGATGTTTAATTAAGTTTTACATTAAAAAATAAAATTATAATAAAAAATAAGTCAATTTTCAAAAGGATTATTCTATCGTGTCTTGATCTCCTCGAGTCAAGCCTCAAACTGTAGACTTGACATAATAATTTTAAGCATTCAAAGGATTTAGGATGACGATTCATGAAGTTGATTAACTATTAGGATTAAAGAAAAAAAATATTAGGTATTTATAAATGGACCAAGATATTATTGTACATCACTTCCTAGTTCCAAATTAATTGATCACTCTTTATTTTGTATGATGCTTTAAAAATCATAACTAAGAATCTAATTTTATTAATTCACCTCTTGAGAATTTCGCAAACAAATTTACACTTCCAAATGAAAATTAATCGTAAGAATAATATAGAAAAAAATTAACTAATATTTTTTTGAGTTAATAAGGTGGACAACTAATATAAACAATTATTTTTAATATAATAATTAACTTATATAAAACCGATAGAATATGTTTGGAAATATGCATAACTATAGTTAAAGCTTCTTACAAACTTTACCAATTAAAGAAAACTACATATTTATCTCACGAAGGTAAAATAGGGTCAGCCTAAAGTCGACTTGTGAAATTACACTAGATATATTGTTGTTTGTTACTAACTAGTGCTTTGAATACGGAGTACACGAGCACAGCTATAAACTGAACAAAATGCTTGCAAAGTCATCAACATCAACAACATAATCGCAGCCAAGAATGTGAGAAACTGCCATGATTCAAACACATAATACTTCATGTATTTCCCAATTTTCACCCTCCATCTTCCATTATAAAACTTGTTGACATCCTCAATCACTTTATCCAACAACTCAACTTTTGTTAACTTCACTGATTTACTCATCGAATTCCACAAATTCGAAACTTGATCATCACTCTTCAAACGGTTCAACACAATCCCTCTTCCTCTAAGCAATGCTACGTCCTCTTCCGTATCAATAATCCCATTCATTAACTCTGTGTAACGAGTAAAAACCAATGGACCAGACGCGTTACACGCCTCATATGCTACTAAATTTCTTAAAATTACCTCCGTGTTTATATCTACGTTGATTGTAGGTAAATAAAATGTCATGTTTTTAAAGTCGAAACTTATGCTTGTGATTCCTCCATTTGTGGCTGCAAAATTTACCCCTGCTTTAGAAAGTTCACTTACTGAAGGGATAGCTATTTCCTCCACTAAAGGTGAATTACTTTCGTTTTCGTTTTCATTTTCAGGATTCTCTACTGCTTTTTCTTGTGAGAAGCATAGGCATTTCATTGGCAAAATTAATAGTTTTAGTCCTGGAATATTTGAGACTAGTGTCCATGGTAACTTGAACATGACTTTCATAGGTTTCGAAAGTACTAATCTTTTAACAAGACGTACAGGTCCTCTGTTTACTTTAACAAGTATCTTCCAAACTTCATTTACAAATTGTTTAACATGAATTGATTTTCCAAAGGAATTATTTTGACATTGATGGGTATCGATTTGATCCTGATCATCGCGATCTTCTGTTGTATCAGAAGTTGGTAATTCCAATTTAGGCACGATCATTTGGTACAAAAAGTCCAACAAATGAGCGGATTCTGTGACTTGAACTTCTCTGATTTTTTCCTCCATTTTGAAAGGGGAAAGTTCTTTGCAGATACCTACTAGCATAGACATTAGCATATTGTCTGCCAGATCTAAAGATGTGAATTGAAGTTCTAAAATTTTCCTTAAAACAAATAGTGGGATTTGGTTTTCCAACATTGCTAGATCTCTAAGAAGAGCATTATGTGCTGATTTTCTCCCAGCAACATCAATTAAATGTGACATCGTAGAGGAAGACATTGCTCGTGTTAGAACCATACCTTCTTTAACAGCATAAATTCGAAGGAACTCGAGTAGAAAAGAGGCATCAACAGCCATCATCCAGGCTAACGTTTCGCCATTGAAATTCAAGTACTTATGGTAACATGAGCGAATTCTGGACTCCAATTTTATCAACTGTTCAACAAGATGTTGAAATTTGATGTTTTGGAGTTGTTTCTGAGTTCTCTTTGCAGCGCCAAGTTTATACCTAATTAAAGTGTCACATAATTCAATATGATATATCATAACAAACGTACTGTAACAATTTATCATACAATTTAACGATACCTCTCCATTTCGTATAGTTCTGGACGCCAATAATGGTAAGGACCTAATGAAACTTCTTGGGGCACGTAAGAATCGGGGTCCGAAACCATTAGGGATTTGGGGACGTTAAAAATGCAGACTGGAATTTCACTGAATTCTTCGAGTTCTTCATCAAGTGTTCGACGGATTTGAATAATCCATCGATCCTCATCGAAATTTGAAGCCATAGCGCGGGGCGGATAAGAGGACATGGTTTAATTTCTCTGTTTACTGAACAAAGAAATAACAGGTTAATTTTGGTTAATTTAATGAATGGTGGAGTTAAGACAAATGGAGTTTTAATTTATAGAATTAAGTGCTGTTTATAGAAAGTGCAATTTCACCAAATTTTAGAAAACGTGAGATGGAATGAAGGCATTGTTTATTTGTTTGGCCCAGCAAAATGAGTTTAAGCTCGTTTTCCCCATGTTTTTAGTGTAAAGTAGTTGTAAAAATATATAGCAGCCGTGAAATTATATTATATAATAATAATAATGCATAACCCATAAGGTAAAATACAATCATTGATACTAGTACTAATTAAATTTATTATTAGTAAAAAAATAAATAATTCGAGTCGTGAGCCCATGATTCATTAATTATCGATGTGAGATAATTCATCATTCAACTCTGGTGCGATCACGCCCGGCGAAGTCTGGGTGTCTATTTTTGGGGAGTTTTGGGGGGGGGGGGGGGGGCTTTACTTTGTTACAACTTGAATAAACTTTGAGCCTAATTTAATTTTAAAAATTTATCTCAGAGGCAAAAATTGTCAAAGAACATATAAAAAAATATTAGAGAGAACCCATCAGATCATTTAAACTTGACATGTATTTTTCACTTAGACAATTTAGCTAAGTTTTGTTCATTTTAGACACTTTATATTATGCACAACTATGTTATTTTGACAATTTTTCTACAATCTGTCAAATTTATTAGATTTGTGTAATACACTCATCGATAATGTGTCAATATGACATATTAAATAAAGACATGTGACATATATAAAAAAATTAATTATTAAAAGATGAATTTTGCGTAGAAAAAAAACTACCAATAACTCATTGACATATGAAATTTCTTTAACCAAATAATTAAAAGAAAATATTTTTAATAAAAAGAAAATTATATGCACTCCTCCACCCCAAATTGTCTTCTATACTACCTCACCCCCACCTCAAACCTCAAACTCAAACCCCTCTCTCTCACCCAGATTTTCTTATCCACCCACCATCACCCCGGCCCCTCCTTCACCCAAATGTGTCAAAAGAGGAAACTTTTTTTAGTTTATTTGTTTCTGTCATTTTGTGAATGTTGTGAGATAAGAACGTTTTTATTCTAATAGATTAATGTTTGAATGCTTGATTTAGTGAATTTGGTAATGCATTTGCTAGATTTTTTTCGAGGGTATTATTAATTTTTTTCCTTTTTTGCTGTATTTTTTGGTCAATGCAGTTCAACAATTGTTACTTTAGTACATAAATATGGAGTCCTAATCTTTCTACTAAAAATTATATAGTTTATCTATTTGATTTGAACTTTTTTCCGTGATTATGATGTAAGAAGACATACAAATGAATTGAAACGCTAAAATTGTTTATTGTGAAGGTAGGATTTCATAATTGAAAATATGATTTCCTTTCATTTCTAAATGTGTTATTTTTCTTAAAATTTATGTTGATTGTTCTCAAGTTATTTTGAGGAGGAAGAATGACAATAAAATATGTGGAAGTATTTAAGCTTAAAATTTATGGACGCTAGAATTCACTTTTTGTTTGTGGCATCTTCAAATTTATTTTACCATGAAAAGAGTTTAACCTTGGAAAATGATAGTCAAAATATGGGGAAGAAGAAAAAAAAATGATAAATGAGGCTCTCACACGCTCATCCAATGAGTGTATCACACTTGCTATGTCATCTCAGCAGAAAGTATTAAATTGACACAATGAGGCATGACATAAGGTATCTAAAATAAACGAAACTTAATTTATGTGGCCTCTTGGCTCTCATTAACTATTAACATCCGTGAAAAAATATTAATAAATAAAAATTATAGCATAGCAATCGTTTGAATTTGGAAAAGAAGTGTTCCAACTCTCATTATATTAAGAGCAATATATATATATATTGTGATGTAGCTGATAACTAAAATTATCTTATCATGCGTCTATCTCAAATTTCAAAGTCTCAATTATGCATATGATGAGAGGTGAAATACGGGGTTCAAATAAATCCGGTATTAGAATGACATTCAATTTTAAAATGAATTAAGGTGCGTGTAAATTGATCTGAACATCATTACTAACTGATACTCAAATCAATTTACATGTATCTTCACTAATTTTATGAATTACCTGAGAGATCTAAAAGCCAGAGAGGCCTAGCTGCTGGTAATTGGTGGGTGATTTTTCAGAAACCGAAAACTTAAGAAATGAGCATTTTTCGAATGAAAATTATATTAAAAGCTCCAAATGCCCTCTAAAGCCAAATGCTCAACAACCCAACTTGGTGCTTATTATTTTTAAGTATATATAAATAATGGAAACAGATAATGAAAGGTCACTCATTCATTTAAGAAGAAACTGTGTGCTTGTGACAACAAATCGAAATATTTTGGGATTACAAAAACAGTCGATAAATACTAATTTTTATGATCCCGGAAGCTTCCTTTATATTTGAATTTCGCATCAAACAATGCTAGGGAAGAATTGTAATCAAAGTCATTATTCTCTCGTACAATGGAAGGATCATTCATTGGACTGGATATAATTGTTTTGATACATGTTTTATCACTTTTGCGCCTCTCCATTTTAACACTTGCTTAAATAGACAACAAATATAGTTGGACTTTCTCTTTTGAATAAATATCACAAAAAACTTTACTCAACTATTAAATTTTATCTAAACAGACTTATCAAACTTTACTTGGTATAAATAAAATAAGTAACTTACGTTAGTTTCGTAGTCGCATAAAACAGATGCTCCTATTCATTAGGCATAAGCCAGAAATTACTTGTTACACATATTATCGAAAAGGAGGAGAAGAAGCACAAGAGTTTTTTTCTTTTTTTAAAAAAAAGAAAATAATTATTTAGTATAGTTATGTGATTCTGTTGATATAAAATAAAATTTAAAATTCGCCACCGATCTAATTAATGGACAAAATGGGAAATTTCCATCGAAGGACAATCCCTTGGCCTTGAAACTATCAACAGAAATGCTTCTTTCATTTGCACGATTTTCGTACTCACATAACTGCCTCAACCCTAATCATCAGTACTAGCACCTTCCTACAGTATTTCCCCACTCTATATATATACAATATAGTCACGTTTATTCCAAGATCATCGACTCAATATTCGTAATTTATTCGCTCATAAATTTATAATTCGATATGGGAATTCCGAGGTATATCGTAGCTGGCCCATCGGAAATGCTTGCGATCACTGGAAATGGCATATCTGAAATACTACTGAAGAAGAAGCATTTCTTATGGCCCCTCCAAAAATGCACCAGGCTCGACATTTCCCCGGTGAACTATTCGTTCCAGGTTCAAGCTATGAGCGCGGAGAAACTCCCTTTCTACCTCCCGGCGGTATTCACAATTGGGCCAAAAGTGTTGGACGAGACGAATTATGAGAGCTTGATTAAGTATGCAAAACTTATGTCTAATAGTGACAAGCAGTCAACTCATATACAAGATCTTGTCAAGGGAGTTATCGAAGGGGAAACTCGTGTACTTGCTGCTTCCATGACAATGGAACAGATTTTTAAGGGAACAAAGGAATTTAAGCAAGAAGTATTTGATAAAGTGCAACTTGAATTGAATCAATTTGGGCTTTATATCTATAATGCTAATGTTAAGCAGCTTGTAGATGTTCCTGGCCATGAGTATTTCTCTTACCTTGGACAAAAGACTCAGATGGAGGCCGCCAATCAAGCCAAGGTACATAAATACAAATATATATATATACATTTTTTTTGAGCAAAAACTATTGAGTTCAGCGAAATCAACCTAATTTATTTCATGTGTGATAGATTGATGTAGCGGAGGCAAGGATGAAAGGAGAGATAGGTGCAAAGCTAAGAGATGGAGAAACAAAGCAAAATGCTGCTATGATTGATGCTGAGACATTTATCATATCAACGAAAAGGCAAGGAGAAGGAAAGAAGGAAGAAGTTAGAGTAAACACTGAAGTTAAAATATTTCAGAACCAAAGAGAAGCTGAGGTTGTTGAGGCAACTGCTTTTCTGGCAAAGAAGAAAGCAGGGTGGTCTCAGACTGCCAGGCTGGCGGAGGTGGAAGCCGAGAAGGCGGTAGCCATAAGAGAAGCAGAGCTGCAAATGGAAGTGGAGAAAAAGAAAGCTTTTGTTGAGACTGCTAAGCTCAAGGCTGAGCTTCTCACCAAGGCTACTGTCGAATATGATATTAAGGTAAGTAAGTAGTACTTTTCTTTTTTACTTGTTGTAATCGCATGCCTTGTTACGCTCAAAATTCATTTCTTTTAACATCAAGTTACTTTCTCTGTGACAAAATTATACATGTTAGGTGCAAGAGGCAAATTCTGAATTATACAAGCGACAGAAAGAAGCAGAAGCTGCACTATTCGAGAGCCAGAAGAAAGCAGAGGCACAAAAGGCAAATGCAGATGCTGAACTCTATACTCGGCAGCAGGCTGCAAACAGCGAGCTGTATGCAAAGCAGAAGGAAGCGGAAGGAGTAGCAACGATTGGAAAAGCACAAGCAATTTACTTAGGATCCATTCTAAAGGAATTGAATCACAATTACACTGCTCTCAGAGACTATTTGATGATCAACAACGGTATGTACAAGGAAATCGCCCAACTCAACGCTGAAGCAGTGAACGGTATGCAGCCAAAGATTAGCATTTGGTCAGGTGCTAATGGAGGTGAAAGCAATAGTGGCGGCGAAGGTGGGAGCGGATTGAAGGATGTTGCTGCATTGTACCGTATGATGCCTCCTCTGCTTGAAACAGTACAGGAACAAACTGGGATGCAGCCTCCTGCTTGGCTTGCAACCTTACCACACCACAAATGAAGTGCACATTAGTTAATCTCTAGTTTGCTATGGGATTATTTATGCTTTGCTTTTCTGGTATTGAATTATAAATTAGTACTACTTTGCATTGTGCTGCTTGGATTGAAGTTGTTTTTTTCATGTATTTGGAAATAATGTATATCAAGTCATGAATTGGTAAAAGGCTATGGTAGATAAAAGGCATTTCACCTATCTTTCCCGGATTTTCAACTACCCACGCACGCACCAACACATGTACATGTGTATCTTTTATTTACTTTCTTTCTCATTCTTCTTCGTTTCATTACCCTCCTTTATTTTTTCACCATTAAAACAATATCAAAAGTGATAGCTAAAAATGCAAAAGAAGATCAAAATTCTGATCAAGAATCTTTTTCTAATGATAATTTAAACAAAATCATTAATAGGTAATGTTGGAAAGACAAAATTGATCAAATTGTTACAAAAAAAACTTAAACATTTTTATTGAAGATGATGAACAAGAAATTGAATTTATTTATTTTTTTCTCTGATGGTAAATTATGTGTAAATAAAACTATTGATCTAAGGTTTGTTTGGGTAATTCGGAATATTGATTTGTATAATATGAAAAGTGAGGTAAATTATAAAGAAAATTGAAAAAAAAAAGAAAAAGAAGAGATTAAAAGTATATTCCCATCAAGGGGAGGATAATTTTATTTTTAAGAAATAAATGAAAGAGATAAAATATACAAATTTTTTAATTATAATAGGAATATTTTTTACATGTTTATTGCTTCTCATACAACACTTAAAAAGGGGCTACTCATTCCACTTCAAAATAGTCCAGGAAATTCACAAATAGATTGAAGCTCATTTGGCTATTTTCTCTAATTTCTTTATCTACTTTTGAAAATTGTCAATCCCACCATTCTAGCTAAAAATCATCCCACGCTTAAATATAACTAATACTTCTCCGTATTCCTAAGCTCTTTTTAAACCGTTTTTTTCCTGTTTTTACTACGAGAATTATGTTTCTAGGATATTTCAAAGTAAATATATAAATTATTTATTATTTTACTCATAATTACAACTTTAATTTTTAAAATTATTAAATCTCTAACTTTTTATTAATTACTTTGGTTTCTCACTGAATGTCCAGAGTCCATATTAGTAAGCTTCAATTAAATTCGAATTGCACAGGGAGGGGAAACGCGTGTTCTTGCTGCTTCAATGGCTATGGAGCAGATCTTTAAGATAAGTAAAGAGTTTAAGCAAGAAGTATTTGATAAAGTGAAACTTGAATTGAATCAATTTGGTCTTTAATGCTAATGTTAAACAACTTGTAGATGTAGCTGGCCATGAGTATTTCTCTTACCTTGGACAAAAAACTCAGATGGAAGCGGCTAATTGAGTCAACAAAACTTTAGACTATCTTTTTTGCAAGTTTCATAACTGAATTATTGAGAGTTCACGTAACACGACTAGTATGAACTTGTTGTGCCATGTCGACTCAAATTTATAAACTTTTTTATTCTTCCAAGCTCCTTTAATCAAGTTACCCTAACATTTTGCTATATTCAATTGGACATTAAAGATTAAAGGCATTGTGGTGAGGAACATACACCAAATAGTAATTTAGGTCTGGAACTTGTGAAATGGTTATAGCTTAAGAAGGTTTTAACCTATTCACACATTTAAATAAAGAGAAAAAAAATTAAAATATATTTAAACTTTGATCGGAATTGTCATAACAATCTCAAACTTTGGGTATGACCTATTATCTCTGCACTTTTTAATAGTGTATTTAAAAGATATATAAGTATCCACGTGGACAAGTTAATTGTTGATTGTTTTTGCTTTCTCTCCTATAGATCGATAGATGTATTTGAAAAATGCTCTTGCTCAGACTGCTAAGCTCAAGGCTGATCTTCTCAGTAAGGCTAATGTTGAATACGATATTAAGGTATTTCCTTACTATTTCCTCTGTCTTAATTTATGTGCACCGTTTAGCTGCATCAAAACGTAGTTTGTAGTTTCAATCATTAATATATGTATGTATATATGCCGTTTGATTTTATTGTAGCATCCTTTTGCCAAGCATGCCTGCAGTACTAATTATTGCACCTTGTGTACTATCGTTTGTAAGTGTGTGACATTGTTTTGGTACCTGATCAATCAAAATGAAGTGCACATTTATTGCTTTATGCTTTAATTTTTTAGTTTTAAACTAGTTTTTTGCATTGTGCTCTTAGTATTGTAACTTGGATTCAAGTTGTTTGAATGATGAATTTAATATCTTTCTATATGAGCACTTCATAATTTACCAACATTTTTGTGAATTTGTGGCTCAGCTTGCTACTACTTTGTCCAAAAATATATCGTTTTTTTTTTTCCCAGTTCTATCTTTAGTGTTTATTGTGTTCGAAGCTATAAATATTTCAAAATGTTATGATGGTTCAAATATCATTGATTTTAAATAAATCAAAGCTCTATATTTATGCTTAATCTTAAATATGATATTAGGAATCTAAAATATATCTCTAATATTAACGCACTGGGGGAAAATTTTTTAAAAAGAATTAATTAAATCGTATAAATGAGTGCAACCCGAGCAAGCACCTGGGCTTCTCTACCAAGCCCAGTATCTTGTTCGGCCCAACCTCGCTGATATCCCCAGCCCAACCCCATCAGTCAAATTGGGCCGCCCTGGTGTGGAAGTTTATGGGCTATACTGAGGCTGGATGGTTAAGATAAAGGAAAATTACGCGGTTAAACAAGTATTTGTAGTTAACTATCAAACATAGCTACAATTCGTATTGGTATAAAGCGAGAGATAAAGGGCGTACATACAAACACAATTATTTGAACTCGATTCAATTGTATACAAACTGTATGGAGTCATATAAATGCAAGCATTGATACATATACATACTAGTTACATAGATACAATTATCTAATCAATATACATTACTATTTACATCTTTCCACTCTCTGTCCTCTCTCCTCCCTCTCTCAATCTCACTCACCTCTCTCATTTCTTTAACATGTAGCTACAATTCGTAATTAGCAAATTATAAAGATTAAGCGTAGTAAAACTATTTTGAGTGGCTATAACCAAAAATTCCCCCAATAATGCAATGCAACTCATCTTGTGTTTTACCTTTATTTATTTTTTATGTTCTCTTATCACTTATGCATCTTGCCTAGGGTTGCATATCGTTCGGTTCGAGTTTAACGTTTATCGATTTGGCTTATTGGTTATCAATTTGTATTGGTTAGATTATCGAATTAATCGTTAAGATTTAACAAAAAAAAACAGTGAAAATCACTCCGAAATAAGTTGACAAATTAAATAAATCATGCACATAAACTCACAAGTTCCTTTTTGCTCAAAAGGTTGTTTTTACATTGTAGAATAACTAATTGTTTGAGATAACCATAAATAAAAGAGTCAGAAACCAAACTCTAAGTTAAGGATTTTCTATAAAATAAAGTGGAATAAATATTATTATTTAATTTACTATCAAATTATCGATTAGTTTGTTAAGGAAAAACCTAAAACAGTTAAGAATCGATAATGTGATAACAAAAAAAAATATATTACTAAAACTGCTAAATCAATAACTCAATACTGATACATCAATAACTTTCTTTCGATTCGAGTTATTAATATCGATTTGATTTAGAACCGCGTTAGTTAATCTTGCCACTTTAAAATATCATTTGAATGATATATATCTATATGAACAATGAAATTTAAATAAATTAGAACTATTCTTTTATCTCGAAACTGTATTCATGTTAAATATTAGTACATATTGAAACATTTAACACTTCGTTTTAGAGTTTTACAATAGAAATGGTGATTGAATTTGAATTTTTCTTTGAAAACTCCACATTAAAAGTAAAATATTCTTTCATAAATTCAAATAAAAGAATATGTTTTTTTAAAAAAAAATTATACTTAATTCACTCAACTACTAGCCTTTTAGAACAAATTGAAGTATTTCATTTATTGGTTTGACTAGAACAAACATAATTTTTTTATTATAGGCAACCCAATGTAGAATAGAAAATTGTAGATTAAAGAAGAGAAAAGCACGAAAGGATATTGAAAAGAGACAAAAATAAATGAAGTAAGATACAAAAAGAGAGTGCATATCCCAATTTTACTTTTCCAATGCATCAATTTTGTTGCAAAATAAGAGTGAATCCTTAGTGAGTACTGACACATCGAAACAAGCAGAATCCACAGAGATATCGATCATAACAATAATAAAAAATAACTTATGTCTCTCATAAATTATTTATCGTGTTTTTATTTAATCATAAAATAATATTTAAAATTTATTTTGTTATTATTTATGTTTGATAACTAAAGTTATAAAACAAAAAAAATTCTTATGATATTGATTAATTTTTAATATGATAAATATTTTGAAACGGAAGAAGCAGATTATTAATTGAGAGTATCATAATAATAGCACATATTTTAGTGTTTGTCCTCTTTCTTTTGGGGATTTCCTTTATTAATGAACCTAGTGTTTTTCAAAACATAAAATAACATGAGTATTGTCTCTTGGTAAAAAAGAGTGTCTGTACATAAAACACCATATTGAATAATATCCAATTCAATTCCTTTGAATAAATACATGTTTTTTTTGGTAATTTATTTTAATTTCTGAAAGAATAAAGAAATTAGAGAATTATAGACCGACATTCTGTTTTGTTGGTAGCCAATGTTTCCTAAATTATCATATACTCCACCCAACACTTCCTCGAAATATGTCCCAAACTGCCCATATTCCATTCACCAACAAACATATTTTAAACGATAATAATATATAATTAAGTGAAAGAAAAATATTCTAGTACAAAATTTTTTAGATATCTTTCTTAAATTTTAGTTAAAGAAAATGCACAGAGTATTTTTTTAGATTGAAATCACATATTTAAATAAATTAAGGTTTAATTTTTTTGTAACTTTGTACATTTTTATTTTACGTAGAATATTTCGTGTTAATAAAATTTTAATTTTA